AGCTTGAGGCTCCGTCTCAAAAAAAAAAAAAAAAAAAAAAGAATGCTGTGAGCTTTGACGACAAGGTACTCTACCCAGACTATCTCAAAAAAAAATTGGGAGGCACCTGTGACTCAAAGGAATAGGGCGCCGGACCCATATGCTGGAGGTGGCAGGTTCAAACCCAGCCCCCGCCAAAAACTGCAAAAAATAATAACAAAAATGAAAATAATTACACAGAGAATGCCAAAAACATGTATACATACATTCTGAGAAAGGAAAAAACTATTAAAATTATAATATTCCATATAAACCACTAACAAAAGATGAATGTAAGTCATGTTGAGCATCTCTTGTAATTGCAGAAGTCAGACAGTGCTTACATATTAAACTTTAATACAGTTTCTTCTTAAGATGTGTATACATTTTTGGCACCTTCTGTATACACATGTGGAGGGGGCAGTGTGGAGTGTATGTCTTATTGTGGAGTCATGATAAAGGTTTTAGTGTCCCTGGTAACAGTGCCAGGGGCTGACTGTCTTAACACTTACGTTTTAAGTGCTCTTGGGGGGTGGGGGTGGGGGATAGTAATGGGATGAACTTATGATAAAAATGGAATAATGGGTTTGGTACCTGTTAGGACTGTGTATATGGTACCAGCCATATACACCAAGGCGGGCTGGTTCACACCTGGCCCGGGTCAGCTAAAACAATGAGGACTGCAACAAAAAATAGCCAGGCTTTGTGGTGGGCACCTGTAGTCCTAGCTACTTGGGAGGCTGAGGCAAGAGAATTGCTTAAGCCCAAGAGTTAGAGGTTGCTGTGAGCTGTAATGCCAAGGCCCCCTACCAAGGGTGACATAATGAGACTCTATCTCAGAAGGAAAGAAAATGGAATAATGACCTTTGCAGATGTTGACACTACTAATAAAAGCCAACAAAAGAAAGCATGAAAAAGTTTTTTGTTTAAATTTCTTTAGCTATATCATGGAGAAAGCAGATCTCGTCATAGTTGGTGCAGAAGGAGTTGTTGAAAACGGGGGAATTATAAACAAGGTAGGAGCATCAGTTCTCCCCGGTTCTTTGCGCAGGGCCGGTAGATGTCTGGCTGACCTACAGCACCACCACAGTATGGTATGCTATCATTCGTTCTTCTCCTAATCCTGCTTAGCGTTAGGAATTCATCATGGTATTGAATTGTTGACAATTCCCATCGCAGTGGTCAAATTTCCTTCTTTTGAAGATTGATTGTTAATTAAGATAATGTAATTTACATTTATCCAAAATGAGCTTTATTAGAATTGGGATTTGTACGGTTTTGGGGTTTTTTTTGTTTTTTTGGGTTTGAGACAAGAGTCTCATTTTGTCGCCCTCACTAGAGTGCTGTTTTGTCACAGCTCACAGCAACCTCAAACTCTTGAGCTCAGCAGTTCTCTTTGCCTCAGCCTCCCAAGTAGCTGGGACTATAGGCACCCACCACCCCTGTTTATTTTTAGAGACGCCATGTCTGTTTATTTTTAGAGATGCGGTCTTGCTCTTGCTCAGGCTGGTCTCAAACCTATAAACTCAGGCAATCCACCCGTTTTGGGCTCCTGGAGTGCTTTGTATTCTTTTTAATCAAGCATATTTGATCTTCATATGTTTTATTCCAATTTCTCTATCCATTGATTATCTTAGAAAGGTTGCATAAAAGTTTTTTTTAGTTACAATAAAATATATATAACAAAATTAAAATGTTTCCATTTTAACCATTTTTATGTATACAATTCAGTGGCATTAAATGCATTCACATTGTTGTGCTACTGTTACCACTGTCTATTTTGAAACTTTTCTTGCTGGCTGGGCACCTGTAGCTCAAGTGGCTAAGGCACCAGCCACATACACCAGACCTGGCGAGTTTGAATCCACCCTGGGCTTGCCAAACAGCAATGACAACTACAACCAAAAAATAGCCGGGCATTGTGGCAGGCGCCAGTAGTCCCAGCTACTCGCGAGGCTGAGGCGAGAGAATTGCTTAAGCCCA